ATGTGTTAAGTTTTGTTGTAACTTTATAACATCCTTCATACTCCTTGATCAATGGAAATCAAAATTAAAATGGAACAATATTCACGATTGCCACATAAAGTCTAAGTTTCACATTTCTTGCAATAAAGTTGGATAGAAACTCCATAAGCAGGAATATATAGCGGAACAAATTATACACGGTTCCAACTATTCATAATCCTCATTCCCATTTCAAGAATATTTCATCTTCATACTCCTTGATCAATAGAAATCAAAATTAAAATGGAACAATATTCACGATTGCCACATAAAATCTAAGTTTCACATTTCTTGCAATAAAGTTGGATAGAAACTCCATAAGCAGGAATATATAGCGGAACAAATTATACACGGTTCCAACTATTCATAATCTTCATTCCCATTTCAAGAATATTTCATCTATTTGTATAACTCCTTCCATTTACACAACCTCTAAGAGATCTTATACGTCACAAAATCCAAACGAGTTTTGTTTTCTTCACCTTGTACTAGAAAGGTATTTTCCAAAGTATTAGAATAAACCAAATCAAACCAGACAAGATTTTAGAAGGATTTTCCTATTTTCATCTTTTATTACCAAAAGAGTTAATTTTATATTAGTAATATATTGAAAATTAGGTATGGAGTAATTGGAACGGTACACAATAAAATTAATCTAGCAAGATCCCATTCAATAAGATTTTCACATACATATTAGGGTAAAACTTCAGACCTTCAGTCTTACCAGACAAGACTAAATCATTATAAATCAAGACCAAAACAATTTATCTCATGTGAAAAAACCAAAGCAGGTAGCTTAGTATTAACTCTTAAAAGGACCCCAAGGAAAGCAACAAGGAAGACAAAACCATATACCCTGGTAAATACAGAAATATAGCCAAAGCAAAATACTAAAAGTTCAGACCAGCCACAAACAGCAACTAATTGAGGTCAAATTGAATACCACACTTCTGAAATGTGCTCAAAAATCTCAAACAGGATAGGTACACTCTTGAAGAAGATTCAATAGTATCACCAAGAAAACCATATTGAAACATAATATCACCTATTCTGCTTGGATACACTTATTATCCACCCTTTTTAAACACACTTAAAGATGAAAGATTATTTACAAGAAAGCACCACCTAGAAGTATGTTATCCAAAACTGTTGATAAAAATACAATTAGACAAACTTTAGAAAAAAAAAACAAACAAACTTAAGCCCATAGTATGAGCTTTAGTATAAAGACTATAAACCCAAAGTGATAAAATGGAGAGTTGTTAATTATTGTGTGATACATGTCCAAATCCACAAACCCACAATGCCAGTGTCCAAATCATTAAACACCTTGATACTTTATAAAAGAATTTTTCATTCATTCTCCAAAAAAAAAAAAAAAAAACCTCTTTAAACTATACACCGTCATTTGCTTAATAAATACATAATTACTATCCAGCACTAAGGGATTTATTATCTTTTATACCCCAATTCCCTAGTAACCTCCTCCTCAAGTATGTGATCCAGCAAATTACCAACTACATGATGTAAAACCTTTGACTAAACCAAAAATCACATATTGACAATCAACCATAAATAAGAACTCAACTACTCATTGAAAACATTCTGCTCTTGAGAAAGGCCTCCTCGTGACAGCCTCAACAGTTTCCCTTTCCAACACCTTTACGTCGCAGCATATTCACCATCTTATAAATAAAACTGACTTGTATCCCTTTCTTTATCTAGGAGGCTAGAGTACCAACCTACCCAGTATAATATAAGAATATTTCAAACCATGTGCGAGAAAGTTAACCATTTCACATACGGCCCAGGAAAGAAATCCTTTGCTATATTGATTGTAACAAATTTAAACTAACGCAAGAAAACATAGCGCAAGCTACTGGGAAACATTATGAAGATACAAGACCACGAAATTTATCCTATAGAGAAAGTTATATGTTCCTGCTATATAGCTCAGGGCCTTCAAGTATTGTTCTATAGTTGGAGCCTTTTTCACAAAAGTAAATGTGAATCTGTGAGCATATGAAAACTTTGTGTATTATTTAAGGGAATCAACAGAAGTCCTTATCAACACAAATTTTACATAATATTTTAGTTCTAGCAATTTGAATTATAAAAAGATGAGGCAAACAATGTCTGCAAATTAGCTTATTTAAAAAGATCCAAAAAAAAGCATCATCAAATAGATAAGTTTCTAAATTCTCAGTTGTGAAAACGGAAAAACTTCAAATACTGAACAGTGGTGTAGAGTCATGTCCAATATAATATGTCGTTGACTCATTTCTTTCTTCATGTTGCGAAATCCCTTTCAATGAAAGCACCTTTATATAAGCCTAACCCGGGGCTACCCCTACATTCCCCATTATATGTACAAGAAACAAAATATAAATTTATGCATAGCTAAACCATCAAAAGCCTATGACAGCCACAACATATTTGGGGGGGGGGGGAGCTCATATCCAAAACATGACAGTGTTGGTCAGAAGCCTGAATAGGGGGATCAAGTTGATATAGCATTACAACATAAACAAACCTATGGAAGTATGGCATGTGCATAATGATTAACATTATGTGAAGAATATTTTCATCAAAGTACATGTTAACCTTAACAAACCTGTCCAAAAATATCCATGTAGTATAAGGTGGTAATCTCTTCACTCCGGGAATTCTGATGGCTCGAATAGTATTCTTATTAGGGAAAGGTGAACCTAGAAGAATTGCTGTATCTTCAGGTGAGACATTGCCACCGTCACCATCGGTACTAGTTCCAATACCGTTTTGCATATTGACTGCATCAGTCTGCCTTTTTACCAATAAAGCTGCATTCTTTTCCAAGTCATTAGGAGTCACATTTTTTCTTTCTTTTCCTAAAGTCACTTTGCACAACTTTTGCCTGTTTTCTTCCATTATGTTCTGAAAACAAGCATGAAATCATAAGAACAAGAATCCTTCATTCACTAACAAATACTTTAAAAAAAACTTAATTCCACCCAACTTTCCAGATGATGCTCATGATATGTACCCTATTCAAAATTGATTTTAAACAATCAACTTAAAAACACTCAAAGATTCCGCCTTTATGCCATCCTTTCATCAGCATTGCTATTAATTCATCAGTAATTACAATAAAAAAAAACACTAATTCCAATCATCCATACGCGTAAATCGGTTAAAATAAGCCTTCAACATGCCACATTGTTATTAAACCGAAACCTAACTTCTACTTTCCAATCAAAGCAAAATTTCAAGACACAATAAATTTGGTTTCTGGAAAATGCACCTTGACATAAACTTGCCGTTGAGCTTCAACATGTTGCTTCAACGAATCGATAACCGATATAATCTCCTTCGGTACGACACTCGTATTCGTAAGCTCCGACACCTAAACAACATCATACCAAACAAAATCGCACAAAATTTCAGAAATTCATACGAAATCCGACAATCATCATCACTTAAACTTAATACGAGTGAAAAAATTTATACCGGCGTGCTCTTCGAAGGTTCCGATCTGGTTACAGAAAGAGAATTGGAGCGCGAAGGTTTGATAGACATCGCCGACGATAAAAGAGCTGCCGGAAGTGACGGTAAAAAGCGCCGGCGGTGGAAATTGGTGTCGGATGCTAGTCATGCAGATGCGAAAATTGAACGGCGGCGGAAGACGGCGGTGATGGCGGTGGATCTGGCGGGAGTTTCGGAAACCCTAAATTGAGGAGAGAGAAAGTTGAGGATGGTAAAATTTGGGTTAGTTGAATGAGAAAGAAAGAAGGAGGGGGGAGGAATTTTAGGCGGAAAGGGAAGGATTAGCTTTTACGTTTTGAATTTGTTTATTGAATTCTGTTTGTGTCGTCACCTGGACTCGAAGTGTATCATGTTTCATAGCGCTATTTTCAAGAGCGTTCGACTCTTCTAGATGAAATACCCTATTAAATCGACACCTTTTAAATTTTGTCAACTAACTCCAATCTCAAGCATTTTGTAGTTGGTGGGGCTTAAGCTTTTGAGTTTTAAATCACAAGGTGAATTTCCCACCAATTCCACTAATATGTTTGGTCGTAAAAGGCTCGTTGAGTGTTAAGAGAAGACGGGTAAGGAAATACCACCCAATTAAGGTTAGCTTCAATGGCGAACCTAGGGTACCGGCCCCACCAAAAATATTTAAGTTTTCTTTTTTTGGTTCAAAATTTTGATATTAGTTATATCTGTATAATTATCTGATAAATATCTCTCTAGATTTAGTATTCTAAACCCACCTCTGGTTACCTTTTTAGTGGAGATTGATCACATAACCTCATTATGTTTGTACGATATTTGTTCATATTCAATGATTTGTAAATGTTGAATTCTTTAATTTGTTTTAATATTAAAATATTTTCTCAGTGCTTAATTAATAACATGCGTAAAAAGTTAGCATAAATTGTTACCAACTTACCATTTTTTGAGAAAAAAATATTACTTTCTTCGTTTTTTAATTTTTGCACCACTTGGAGGCTACTTTCAACACTTGATTCTTTAGTTTATGTTTATGTCACATGGTTGATTTTGTGCATTCATCTCTTTCTCTTCATTTTTTCCTACTATCATAAAAATTGTGCCCAACCTATATGATACAATAATATAAAAACGGATAAAGTATAAAAGAAACGAGAAAATACTAGTATATCTCCATGATAAACAAATCTATTTACCACGGAGGGCGAAAGAGTAACTTTGCGATCGGTTAAAATATTACCGCCACTCCAAATAGCAATTTTGATAGCGGTTTTGAGGCACATAGGGTATGTTCGCATTTACTAAACAGAAATGAACTGATTGAAGCCAAGCTGAAATGAATATTTTATAATACAAGGAAATTAGAAGCTAAATTGAATTAATTAGAGTTGAATTAAACTGAAATTAAGCTGAAGTGAACCAGAGTAAGTGAAATTTGATTGTCACCGAGATTAAACGGTGCGTCCTCAAAAGAAACTTTTATTTTCTCTCTTGGGGCTCTCTGTACCCAAAAAAAAAAAAAAAAAAAAAAAACTCCATATTGTTTTTCCAATAAACGATCTCAAGAAGTTCTTAAGCATTATCTGTGGATCTCAGAGGCAATGTCGACGGCAGCGCTTCAAGGCGCCGGGAGCGGGAGCAGCAATACCAGCAGCCACCACAACAATAGCGGTGATTTGGGTGTTGATGATTTTCACTTCTCCTCTTCTCAACTGCTCTCTCTCCTTGACTCCAAGGAAGACGCTTTCCAAGGTTTCCCCTTTTTACTTTGATTATCGCCTTATTTGATAATTCATCTGCAATTGTTCAATCTCTATTTAATTTCAAATCATGGAAAGTATTTGAATTTAAAGCTTGGAGCTTTAGGTTTAGCTTTCGTCTTTGGGAAGCTTTAATGGTCAAATTTAATTCCTTTAGTTTAACATTTATTTCTATGAAAATTATAGCTTTCCTCCGATAATGGGGTTGATTGTTAATTTTATTATACAATGATACTTTTTATTTATAATCCTTTTTATGAGGAGATTGTGGCATTATGACTTTATGAGTGTGAAATTGTTATTTTGTTTCAATAAAAGATTAACTATTAGTTAGGGTATTGGGCTGTCTTCTTTTCCGGTTTAATATGATGTCGTCTATTGATATATTGATTGGTTTGTTTTGGCATTTCCAGCACTAAAAGCTGATTTGATGGATGCACTTAATAAAGGAGTTAAGTCATTAGATGAGGATAGTTGGATGTTTGATGGGCCTCGGTCTCGAATCAACCTCATATCGAAGCCAGGTTCGTTTAATGTGTCAATTTGGTGGTGACTGTTTGATTTCCTTTGTTTAGTCTGAAAAAACTAAAAATGAAATTTGCATGTTTTTTCATGGTAGCGTTGATTATGGTACTTTTGTTTATGTACTTTGCACAAAATGTCATTTTTCATTGGGGGAATGGAAATTTTATTGTTGTATGTCTACAATGGGGCAACTTGTATGGCATATTGGCATTTATTTACTAGTGCCATCATGCCCTGTACGGTCTGCGGAAATTGGGAAATGCTTCTGATGAAGTGGAAGTTTTGGGACAAGGTATCCAAATTCCAATCCCTAAGCCCACTATACTACTAATGAGGATGTCAACTTCATAGTTATTATCATGTACTTCACCACTATTTAACTATCTTTAAAATTATGGCCAACGAGAGCTTCATTATACAAGGTTCAGTATCTCCTTAATAGATTATATCATGGAAAGGTTCTTTGGTTTTGTTAGCTGTGAGGAAGGAGTTGCAGTGATGGTTGTTTAATGAAAGTGATGAGCTTTGGGTGGTTGGTGCAATGAGGATTGTGCAAACAGAGCAGGGAATAAAGTTGACTTGGATTTGATATCTAAGTGTTTTATAGTTAGTTCAGAGTGAGAAACATACACTTAAAACTGTTCTGGTCTTATGGGAACCCTTTGAAGGCGTGAACTGTAGGCTTTTCAGTGTGTCTAACAAAGTAAGTCAGTAAGAAGAGAGGCATATTGGACTCTCATTTATTATCTCAAGTAGGTGGTTTAAATAATTATTTATCATTGTAATTATTCTATTACTCAAATTGGATTCAGATCACTGGTATGTAATGTTTTGTGCTAGATCACTCATCAATCACATTACACATAAGTAGTGGTGCGGGTGGTGTTGGATACCATATTAGGGGAATGGTATTGACCTTGTCTGAATTTTCTCTTGATGCTGAATCTTGCCTATCCAGTATTGAAGAGAGCTAATTCTTGTTCTTTTGGCTAACCTATGACCTGGCTTTGTTAGTTTTCTGTTTTGCCAATGTCAACTATATTCCAAATACTTGAACTTTCATGTATAATATAATCCTCCTCGTGAACTCTGAAAGGCTTGACTTTCATTGAGATTGAGGGGGGAAGGAGGTATTGTTTTACTTGGTACTAGGTGGTTGAGACAGCTTTGTTGTGGGATACACCTATACCTCATGTAGTACTTGCTAAGATCCAATATCGGAAGGCTTAATTCATTAGATCAAGGTACTTATAATGTTGTAGGTACCTATGTGCCTATGTGGTAACAATTGAGCTGCAGCAATTAGGCAAGCTGCTTTTTCCTGGAATCCAGACAGGCCTTTGGATGCTCACTCCTTTTTTGCTACTGTAGTGTGGGCGTGTGGCAGCCTGACCTATTAGTGAGAGTGTGTCCTTGAACTAGGATGTTGCTGATCAAACCATATAGTTATAGACAATATTAGTTGAAAGGAGGGATAAATGTTGGATGTGACTGCAGAGAAAGTTGCATCACGCATTTGGTAATTGGTATCATCTTTACAGCAGTTCTTAAGTATCATGACCTGCCCATCTTTCTACTAATGTAAGATTTTGCAATACTTTAACCATGGGGTCCTGAGCTGAATCCATTTATAATAGCTTATGAGTGATACCGTGAGAAATGAGGTCATAATGTTCCATTGCAACTAAAATCATATTAAGCTATCAGTACTGCAGTGTTTGCAACTAGAATATTGCAATGTTAGTATTCACCTGGATTGGATATTATAGTGTTATCACTCAAACCTTGTAGCCTTGAGCTGAAGCCTTTCTTAAAGCTAAGTGTTTGACTGCAAGTTTCCAACAATGAAGAGATCCCACCCACCTGAATTGGATATCGCAATGTTAGCAACTAAAATGGTGTATTTAAGTATTATCAACTTCACTCCTCTCTGGATCTACTTTAAGAATCATCATGTTGCTTGGTTATAAATTGACTGCTAAAATTAAGGACTATTTTCTTTTTGGCAGTCACAAAAGGACTTTTATTGTATGGACTTCTGTGAGCAGTTCTTAATTTGTTCATTTGTTATATGAGCTTTTATTTAGTTTTATATTATAATGCGAGTATATAGTACTCTACCACTTCATGATAGAAATATTTTTCCTTTATCTTCCCATGTGCTCTAGTCTATGACTTAACATGCTTCTGTGATAGTGACATTGTTGAAGATTTAGAAATCAATTTAGAGCATGCAAATATTTTTTAATAAGGACTGATGATTCTTGCTACGTTTATTATCATATTGAATTTTAGCTGTCCTGGAACGCAGGTAGGTCCTTGGCAACGACGAATGCCTAATCTTTAAGTCACTGAAAGTTTGGACCGCATTTAGTCAAGGTTTCCCATTTCTCTTTGTTTGTATACTGCTGCTACTGTATTGTCTACTGTTGGGAAGCTTACCGACAAGGTCATTGCCACTCAACTATAAAAAACTCAAAGGAAGAGGAATGGATTGATTGCTGAATCAAAGCTTTGAAGATAAATATAGAGCATTTGTTGTTAATTGTGGAATCTATATATTTAAGAACTGAATTTTTTTATTTATATTCTTGGGAAGCTTAAGCTTCCATTAATTGTACGAGACAGAATCTCTGCTAGAAATTACACAAATTGCTTTAGCCTTCCTGTTTCTGCTGTTCTGCATACCTTGTGTATGTTTTCCAGTAACTTTTGTTGCTACAAGAATCTACACGTCTGGTTTTATACTAAATCACATTCAGAAAACACTTTTTCACAAATTTTCAACTTTGTTATAAATCTATCATATTTATAGAGAAATGTGTTATTCTTCATGAATATGAGAGTACAACGGAGGAGGAAAAAAAAAAAAAAAAAAAAAACGCCGCCAACTATACAAATGACACAATATTAGCCGACTATAATCAGAGTCTGAAATACAGCAGCTTGTATAGATTCAGATGTTTACTGAATCGCAGCTTTGCACCTGAAGTCTCTTTGAATTATAGAGCGACTATCTTATTGCTAGTTTGCTACGTTACCATTATTGGAAAAGAAAATGAACTAAATAACCTGAATTATGGATTATCCCGTAACATCTTACTAAGAACTCGCAATTTAGATATGTGCTGATAATAACATTTAACTTCAATGGCAGGGTTCATCATCAGGTCATTCTAACAGTCAGACCAGATGATGTTATAGCACGTTATAGAAGCTAAACACTAGAAGCTAAACACAAACTGTCCACCCTACCTTCAAAACTGCATATATTGTAGGTGATCACTGAAAGCAGTTTGAATATTGAAACAAGTTTAAAGAAAATAGCTCCATGCTAATCTTGTCAAAACTGAACAATTGGCTTACAATTTTTTCAACTCATTATTTTAAATTGTTCTCTCTAAACTTATTAGAACTTCCTAAATACGTAGTACTTGAAAACTTGGTTTATCTGAATTACAAGTTACAAGGCAAAATAAGTCGAGAAATGCACACCTTTAGTGGTAAATTTAACTAAGACAATATAAAAATAAATAGGATTGGGACACTATCAGATGTACCAGTGACACTTATAGTATTATATCGAATGAGAAAAACTCATAAAGAGGTCAAAGCGTAAACTTTACACACAGGTGAGACCATAGCTAAAAGAAAGAGATGACAATCACCTCTGCAATTATAAGTTCAAAGTTAAAAGCCAGTTTGCTACATAGCTACACGAGCAAAAGAATTGAGCAAAAAATTACATCAAAGATGGAGTAAATCATTCATCAAACCTAAATTGCTTCACTGTCTTGTACAAATTAATCTTGATATTGATACAATTGGAAAGAAGCATATCACAAGATGACCAACTCCTTGCCAGCATGCTGCATAAGAATCCATGGTCTAGGCCAAAAAATTTATGAGCCAGAAATGGCTGTTCTACACGGGAACTGAAAGAGCTGTAAAGAAAATGTTCATCAAGAAAAAAAGCATGGAACATATATCATTAGGCCTTCCCTAGTGAGTTGAAGCCTGCAATCAAAAACATCTGTACAACGTTAAAGAAAGCAAAAGCATAAGATTCGAGCACAAACATGTCACGACTGTTTCTAACTACACAAGAGGATGTTTGAAAAGTTTCAGAAGAAACGGATAAAAGGCATAAAAAGGATTTACAAGCACAAGAAAGGTTGTATGTGCAACTGAAAGCTGAATATACAATACAGAAATGTAATGGCATCATTTTGGACATTAGAAGTAACGGCTATGCTGATTCCGAGTTCTGATTATACCTTGGATGGTAAGAGCCATAACTGTACAGATGGCTAATCAAACTAATTGGTTATCTGAGTTTAAAAGACCCATTCGTTCTGTAAGCTGATCCATTCTTTGCCGTTTGTCCCACCCGTTATCTAAGGGCTGCACTTCTTTTACCTCTGCCGAATTTTCAACGTTAGGCATCTCAGGCTCATTGTAATCACAGGGAATTAAATTGTTACGGTTTATAAACTGATCCCATGAGTCTTCATCAAGAAACAAATCTAGATCAGCATCAGGAGGCAGCTCAATGGGAATTGTCCCGTCAAAGTCAACAGATGTCAGATCCATAAAGTCACCATCTCCTGTCTCATTTAACAGGAAATTTTCCCCAGGAATGTCAACAGAATTATGTACAATGTCAGGCAAAGAGGATATCTCTGGCATGACACTATTTGTCTGTGGAAGACTTACAGAGGGTATTGTTTCAGGGCTTAAAAGACCACTTATTTCTGAGAGTGCAGGAGTGGATACAGTTTCAGAACTGGTCATAACAGGAGGCGATTTTATCTTAGATACAACAGCACCATCAGGACCACCAGCACCAATCTGAGAAGTTGGAATCACATAAGCTGGTACAGAAGTTGGTGGGACCTCTTGAAGGGTAACTCCTGATACCCGATTTGCTTGTGTTTTATTTTCCATTGCACTAGTAGAAGATGAATCGCCAATGTAGAAATTATCGGAGTTGCTATTGTAATTGGCGTCCAAATTCCTTAGCTGCCGGAGCATTGCCTGAGTAGAATCATTCCCTAAGGGTTGGTATTTCACAATTTGTCCATCGGGAGGGGTAGCATTTTCACTCTCAGTAACACCATCTTGCTTAAGCCTTCGTTTCTTGTTAGCTTCAGATATGCGCCTGCTGCTCTCAGTTTGCTGCTGTACAAATTGAGCCAAGAATCCAGGACTCTGTACAGCTTTTGCTAAGAATGACATCATTTGCTGCTGGCGCTGTTCCATTCCCTGCAGACGTTGTACCATGGTTTGCAACTGGTTATCAGTTGACTGCTGCTGCTGTCTCAATCTAACAAGTTCTTGCATAAGCACATTCTTGTCTCTTTTAAGCCTCTCCACTTCTTCCTCCAGCCCAAATTTACCCACCTCAACACAAGCTCCAACAGATGAAGTCTGTGTATTTGCTTGTTGTTGATGTTGTGGACCTTGTCCATGAGCAGGCTTTCGCCGAGTGATATTCTTAAGCAGGTGTTTCTGACCCCTTAAAAATCCCTCATTTGCAAATTCCCAGCGGTCTGGATCCACCTTTCTAAATCCCTGAAGGTCAAAGAAAACTCAAAAGATTAATATTCTGGGCAGTGCTTTCATTATAAGATCCAAGATAACATGTACATAGTCACATACTTTATGTTGGTGCAAGAATCAGTAATAGAAACAATTTTTTCATTGGCTACTAATGTATACAAAGTATAATATTTGCATTAGACAACTTGAAATCTTTCATACTACTTCCTTTGCTCCTAATTCACAATTTCACATCTATCCATTTATGGGAGGTAGTCCAACAGATCAAAATATTCTACTGAATATCAGCACTAGTTTACAACAAATCATTATACTTCCTACATTCTTTATTAACTGACACATTTGATTTTGGCATATTAAGAAGGTGTGATAGAGGAAGGGAGAAGATAATAATAATCCTACCCACTCAAAATTGGGTGGGGTAATGTGGGGTAGTAAGGGTACAGTATGAATTGTACATAACAAAGCTTTTCCATATAAAAAAACATGTCAACAAAGTAAATATTTTCAGATAGGAATATGCGTAAACGGGAGGGGAAAAAAAAAGAAAAAAAAAAAACAGAGTAAGTAAACTGCAAGGAGTCAAATATAAGAAGGCAAACAATCAAGCGGTACACCAACAGTTTTCCCATCCTACAAGATAAGGGTATGAAACTCTTCCATTGCATTATTCTTTTTTACCCACATTATTCAATTGTTCCCTCCATCCCAAACTTCATTCTTTGACATTTTGGTGATCAAGATTAAGCATTGATTTTTTTATAATTTCAAATTACAGTGAAGAGTTGAAATTGAGTTGGGGAACAGATTTTAGCATGAGAGAAAATATGAAAGGGTAAATGACTGGGTGTGGCTCCAAGGGGAGAAAAAAAAGGAGGGTATGTTAAGAAATTAAAGGTCAATACCATTTCAGTTTCACCCTTTTAAAGTCAAATAGAGCTTATTTTGGAAAGGTATTGGCTATCATTTGTGTTTCTTTTGTATGATATTCATAAAAGAGCACATAAATGCTTCTCAATATTTCTCACAACCTTTTTTTTTTAATTCATTCACCCTTGAGATAAGCATTAACTTATGAATTTAAAAAAAAAATTAAAAACAAAAAAAAAACATTTTACACATATTTCTTCCATGATCAAGAATGTAAAAAATCACACAGAGGCTGAAACCAGGTCTGTAGGTATGCCAAACAGCGTGCACACAATCACAAACACCCATATAACATTGACTTTCACAGCCCACCACCCCACCCCTTTCTTCTCCCAAACTTAAAAAGGGACCAAAATTAGCAATCCAGCCTGTGTCATAGCAGCAGTAATCAAGTCATTTCAAGCCTGACACATACACTTACAAGAAAAATATCTTCTTTCTTTTTCTTGACAATCCCTCCCACACAAAGAAGGGGAGAAAAAAAGGAGGAAATGACCAATCATTCTCAAGCTGCTCGCAAAATAAGCTGGCAGGAGTGAGTTCAGTGACATACAGCTTACAGTATATCCAGAATAGGAAGATCTCGGACTACTGATCAGTATTAGAAATTTTTGTTCCTTATAATGGCACCCCTTTCAAAGACATATCCAATTTTCCACTCTGCTGCAGGCTGCCTGCAGCAATTAAAATTCTTAGGATCATTGCATATTTACCATAGTACACAGTCCAAATGTGCTTCAAGTAAGCTCTTTTACGAGATGTGTACAATATGAGGACTTTCTAAGGCTGCTAGTCTACTCCTAACTACTATTATTCCTGTCAAATTACTCTTGATACTCCATATAGACAGTAAAATACAAAACATTGTTTTTCAAAAAGCTCAAATCACTACAAACTCATATTTCTGTAAAAAAAAATACCTCCATGTTTGATCACTTGAATGAAGTCCATAAGAAACGAAGAAAAGATCCAACATTGCAATCTTCAGAATATTAACAAGTGAGAGAACAAGGAGAAAGGTAAGGTCCAAAAGGAAAACTCTACATGGTGCTCTAATATTTTTGACTTAGCTATTAGATATACTTCGCAATTCTTATAGAACTCTCATCCACATTCCAAACACCCCCCTGAAGGCCTGGATAATTAGGAAGGACTTATCACCTTCCCCTGCCCCATCCCTATTTCCCATAGGGGGTTCATTAGCATCTATAAACCCTCTACTATTTATAGGAAGCAAACAAGGTCATGAATCATGGTCCTGATTCGTTCACCATGCTTCCACTTGTTGTAATAAAAATAAGTTCGGATAAGGGTTATAAGTTCAAACAAGAATACATATAAAATTAGATAAGTCAAGTTCGGGAAATATTAGGGCTACCCAAGTTTCAATTTGCAACTAAATTACATTCAAATAAGTTAAATTAAATGAAAATAAGGAGAATAGAACACACACTAAGGCTATGGTTCAAACAAGCAAATCATTCAGGCAGTAATATCAATTGTAGAAGCCACTATAAAAGGCAAACTATTATGTAAACAATCATAGACTAATAATTGTAAAAACAAACAAGAAAACCATAATATATCTATCATCCATCAACCAGATTGTTCTATAACTGTAGTTTATACTCTTTGCTAGGGCAATTAATCCCAAATCAACTAACTCACTACAACACTCCAACAAACAATAACTTGAATAACAATTAAATTGAAATTACAGCAATTCATGAAAACATTAAAACGCATTTTTGCATCAATAAAAAAAATCAACCAAAACCCACAAAATAAACAAAACTAACCGCCAAAAAAAAAAAAAAAAAAAAAAAAAAAGAGTGAGATTTTAGCATACATAGGTATTAAGCTGTCGAACAAAACTGGAGAAATTGTTATGCTTGAAATACTTAGGCAAAAGATCTCTAGCAAACTCAGGAGGGTTCCAAACGATGAAGCTATTGTGAGTAGAACTCCATGAAACTACCGAATCAGTTGCCGAATCATCCACCATATCGTAAGTTTTACAGAGAAATGGAGGCGGACCATTGACGTTTGACATCGGCGTCGGAGTATTTCCGGCGGTAGTGGTGGTGTCGGCGGCGGCGGGGGTTGTTGTGGTGGCGGTTGTTGTTGAAGAATCCATTGATTTCGCCGGAAAATAGTTGATCGAATCGGTAATTGAAAATTAGGGTTTAAGTTGGGGAAATTAACATTGAAGGGTAAGAACCCTAGAAAAAGAGGAGAGAGAAAGAGAACGGTATTGGGGGTTTTAATTGAATTGACGGAGGTGATGGGCGAAGGGATGGAAGGACAGGGTATCTTCAATTTTTGCTCCCTCTCACGGGGGTTTGCCCTGTGCCACTAGGGGTGGCAAACGGATCAGGTCAGGTCGGGTTCGTGTTCGGGTTTTCGGGTTTCGTGTCAGCTAAATCCTAACCTGAACCTGATCCATTTAAGTTTTTGGGTTGAAAACCCCAACCTGAACCTGATATTTTCAGGTTCGGGTCAACCTGAAAACGACCTGATTTGACCTGATTTTTTTATTTTATTTTTTTAAATTTTCTTTTTGACTTTAATAACCTGATTTTTCAGCCTGATTTTGTACCAATTAACAGAATGTATTTTGTACCAAGAACTTGTTTTTTTTTTCAGCCTGATTTTGTACCAAGAACCTGTTTTTTTTTTACCTAATGTTTTCAAACATGATTTCCAAACTTAAAGATTTTAAGAAAAGTAGAAAACCAAATAAAGTCTAACAAGTCTAAATACCTAATTAACTATTACATAACAAAATTAGTCTTAAACAAATTACAAACCACAATTAAAAAGAAATAAATGTTTTTTAAAAAATCAGAAATGATCAAACAATGTTCGAAGAAGCATTCTCATCAAATTGTTCAAGTTCGGGCGAGGAACGTGGTGTGTCATGATTGTCGTTGTTGTCCTCCACCTTAAGCTTCATAACTGATCCACATAGCATTTTCATTTGAGGATCCATATTTGCTACAAGAAAAACAATAGCAAATTACAATCAATAATGTATGACATGTACTAAAAATAAAAGTTAGAAGTATTGTATTACTTCATTACTTGTATAAAAAATCATTTATTACCTTCCCCAAAGGCCCAATCCCTTAAGCAAATGATAGCTTCCACCGTTTCTGATTTTAAAGAACTTCTATAACAATCAAGCCCCCGACTTCCAGTACTAAAAGCTGATTCGGAGGCCACGGTTGATACGGGGACAGCAAGAACATCCTTAACAATTTTAGCTAATACAGGATAGCGGACCGAACAAGTTCTCCAATAAGACAAAATATCAAGGTTGGTGCCTCGAGGGATAAGTGGCTCCTCATAATACATATCAATTTCAGATTTGATTGCCACACTTGATTGCTCTTGAGAGAAACTATCAAAATCCTATATACCAAGATTTAGATTACATCAGAATATAAAAATCAGATTAGATGACACAAAAAATCAGAAAATATAAATCAGATTATAAAAATCAGAAAATAAAAATCAGATTAGATGACACAAAAAATCAGAAAATAAAAATCAGATTATAAATAAAGATGCAAACTAAAAGCTGCTGAGTTATATAAGGATTTGCTACTCAATCATTAAAACTTGGCATTTGTTTCACTTGCAATATAGGTCAATGCATCAGAAAGTTTGTTTACCATCATAAAATCATCAGAAGCTTCATTGGAAGCATTAGTAGTGGGAATAGCTTTGCTTGATGAAGAATGAGTAGATTCATAAGCCTCGTATAACCTCCGTAGAGCATCCTTAACCTTAGAGAACTCAAGCTCGTATTCAATACTATGCTGACCATATATCCTCATGTAACCCCAATTGACACATTGCAACTTATATCGTGGATCCAACACCACAGCAACAGCCATAAATGTACTAAATTCTGACCAATATTTTCCAAATTTCTCATACATCTTACAAGCCATTTTTTGCATAAAAAGATCTGAACTTTTCATTTCATTTTGTAACAACAACCTAACCTGCAAGACTCTATGAAAGTAGAGATTGGAAGTTGGATATTTGGTCCCGGAAAAGGCAAGTGTGACATCATGGAAAACTTTCAAAAACTTGCATATTTTCTCAATTCTACCCCATTCTTCCGCAGAAGGACAATGCACATAATTGGCATCAACTTTTTGAAAATGAATTAAAGCTTTTTTAAAATACAAAGCACAATCAAGCATCATGTAAGTTGAATTCCATCTAGTAGGAACATCTTGTTGTAAAATTCTAGTAGATTGAATTTCAACATGTGCTACACAACTTAAAAACCTTTGTTTCCTACCTTGTGAACTCTTACAATACTTGGCACTCTCTCTAATCTTATACACAGCCGCATCAATCTCTTTTAAACCATCTTGAACAATTAAATTAAGAATGTGAGCACAACACCTTACATGAAAAAATTCCCCACCATTAATCAACTCAAGTTCCCCTTTTAGATTTTCAGCAAAAACATCATTTGAAGAAGCATTATCTAATGTAATTGAAAAAATATTTTTCTGAATACCCCATTCCTTTAACAAACCATACACATGATCACATAAATGAATTCCTGTATGGGGAGGACCAATGTAAGAAAAGTTCAAGATCTTTTTTTGCAAACACCAAGAATTGTCAACATAATGAGCTGTTAATGATATATAACCATCGGTGGTTAAAGAAGTCCAACAATCAGAAGTCAATGCAATTCTACTACAAGTTGAGCCCAAAACCGCTTTTAATTTCTCTTTCACTCTTTTATACATCTTAAGCACATCATATTTGATAGTGTTTTGAGTGACAGGTTTGAAATCAGGATGCAAATAATTAAAACATCTCCTAAAACCCTTGAACTCTACAAACTGAAATGGCATATCATGCTCCACAATAGCAATAGACAATAATTCACGGAAATAACCAGCATCAAAATCAGGCAATCTATTTCCTAAACCAGAGGATGTTTTCTCTAATATCATTTGACCAACATCCCTAAAAGACCTTTGTTTACAATTTTTCAAATGACGATGAAGATTCCCAGTTCCATTCTTACTATCACCATTAAAACGTAAACCACACTTTTTACATTTGCAAATCAGATTACCATTTTCATCAGGCTCATCTAAAAACTCAAAATGCACCCAAACACCAGAAGAAAGACGACGTGGACGTTTCTTACCAGTAAGAATCAAACGAGGTTTATCAGAAGAAGTGTTCTGGTTTTTACCCTTTCCTTTGTCTTTTATTGTAGAGTCAATCTCCTCCTCTTCCCCGGAAGAAAGCTGGTGAACATGGGTGTCCATTATTTCTGCCAAAAATTATAACAAAATAAAACATTTAAAACAAGAGACAAAACCTGATCTAATAGTAATTAGTAAAAGATATAATTAGAAACACATAAAGAAAAAGATACAACTTGACATGAAAGATATGGAGATTGAAATTAAAAAGGAAGTTAAATGCAAGAATATCTAATATCCATACTCCATGCTCAGATTGCTCACAAGATCATAAGTCTTATTGATTAATATCGTACCTTCTTAAGAACTAAGAATGTGATCGACTCAAATGTCGTGAGTTGCAATCAAGGTACTAACTTTCTGTGTGAATATCTTATTATATGAAGTAGATTAAAATAAAAATTAAATTAACACTATATTAAGTATAAGTGTATAACTCTACAAGACCACTAAGGCACTAATATGAGTAAAAGCTAAAGACCACTATCAAAAAGAGCATTAAAAGTTTAATACATTAAATTACACATCTAATCAGCCTTACACACAAGTAAGTAATAATTACATGTAACCACTTGATCAGTATATCTACATATACACTACAACTGATATGAACATCAGCATCTTCATATACAAAAAGACTCAAACATACAGATTAATAGATTATTACATGTACAAAAGCACTCAAATTATATGAACAATATAAATTAAACCTAAAAATCATAAATTATATGAACAAGAACAACAGTATAAATTAAAAATTACATGAACAACAATATAAATCAGAATTATGTGAACAACAAAATAAATCAAAACTAAAAATAAAAAAAAAAATTCACATGCAAAATACCCTTTCCCGTCAAACAACAAATCAGCAACAGATGGTCTTACAGAGTTACAGATCTACCCTTTCCCGTAAAAAAAAAAAAACAAATCAACAGTGGAAATTAAAAAAACGAATATTCGAAAATCCGAAAGCAAAAATTCGAAAGCAAAATTCGAAAATTCTTACAGAGACCGAAAATTCGAAAGCAAAAATCAAAAATCAAAAACTGTATTTAAAAAAACGAAAATACTGTATTTAAAAAAAAACAAAAAAAAGAAACGAAACCAGGACAACAAGAACAGAAAATTACCTTGAGTTTTGAGTTTTGACGACTTGAAGGAGAGGAAGCTTTGAAGATGGAGAACTGGAGATCGAAAGCAAAAATCGAAAAAAAACGAAAGAAGAACTTCAGAAAATAAACGAAAACAAAACAAAAAAACAAAACGAAACGAAACGAAAACAAATTAACAAGAAATTACCTTTGAAACAGAAGAAGACAGAATTCAGAGAAGAAGATTAGAAGACAGAAGAAGAGGAGTGAACTCAGTGAAGAAGACAGAAGAAGAGGATTAGAGGAGTGACGAGAGAAAGAATTGAGGTTTGACTGTTTGAGGAGAGAGAAAATGAAAAAAGATGAAATGATGAAAACGGCTGATCAGCTGATGAAAATTTTAGGGTTTTAGTGTTTTATAGTTCCTTTTGGGCTTGGGCAATGGGCAGTTGGGCTTGGTTAGTTGGTTGGGCTATAATAATGCCATATATATATATTTTTTTTAAAAAGACTTTTTCGGGTTATAAGGTCGGGTTCGGGTTGACCCGACTTGATTTTGACCCGAAAATAATTTCGGGTTACGTGGGTCATTTTCGGGTTGAAAATTTCAACCTTAACCTAACCCATTTAATTTCGGGTCGGGTTCGTGTCAACCCATTTAAGTTTTCGTGTCGAAATTCTCAACCCTAACCCGCTGTTTTCGGGTCGGGTTCGGGTCGGGTTTTCGGGTCGGGTCAGTTTTTGCCACCCCTATGTGCCACCCTTTTCTTAATTTTTAAAATTATCTTCTATAATTTTAATTTAATTTTTTTTTATAAAAAAAATTACCAATTCACAATAATTAGACAAAATCATACAATGAATTACTCTTCTCCTTTTTTCTCCCATTCTCTCTTCAAAACCCTAGCCTCCATTGTTGAATTTTAAAGGGGCTTCCATCGATTTTAATCGATGAAAAGCCTCAATCTTTGTTTCTTTATTTTTTTTTTAGGTTTGTAATAATGCTTCCTCCTTGTGGGAGGAACTTTTCTCCCTTGAAAGAAAGGGTTTCCGATCT